GGGGGGGGGGGGGCTAAATAAATTTTTAGTAATGTTTTAATGTAGTTTTAATTTACTGTAGCGTATTTGTATGGTGAACGAACGTACAGGACATCAGCTTAGTTAATTTCTCTTGATTTTCTCTTTAAATACATTTGTCTATTTTTGTCTAAAAATTTTTTATCCAATCAATTCAGGGGGGGGGAGGGCTAGTGCCCCCCCTGCCCCCCCCTTCGGGCGCCCATCAGTTATAGGGTCATAAATATTTCCAATAATATCGGTACTAGAATATATGGTTATCATATGTTGTTTGTGTATGTGTGGGTGTGTTTAAAATGACTAGATTTGTTTCGCTGTGAATGAAATTTTTGCGGTCCCCCTTTTCGCACATGCTTAAATTATGCTATGTGGTTAAACCGGACCAGAGGACATTGCAGTTCGTTGGTTGATTATATTAATGGATCGCTACTGAGCCTGGGTAGCTCTATGCAAGTCTTGAAAGAAATCTTTTGCTGAAAATACATTTTTTTTTTTTTAAATTCGCCAACTGGAAAATGTATGTTTGTCTGTGTAAAAACATTTTTAAAGATCCTTTTTACAATACGCACTGGTATACTATAGTATAACAATCGAGACACAAAAAATGTAAAAAAATCATCCAAGGAATTTTATTTGTTGGTTGAAATTGTTTATTCAATTAAAAAAATGGAACTTTTTAAATTCAATTTAAAAAAAAAAATGTAAAGCTGTTAATCACAGAAACTTGGGAGTAAAAAGAAATGTTAGTATTAAACTTATAAATAGTATTCAAACTTATAAAGAGCATGTAAGTCATTTGTAAACAAAATGGAGCATCTTCCTTAAGGCAGCATACAAAAAATGAAAGCTTTGTTACTTTGTTATCACATAAACACCGGCTACGATTTAGCCAATGCAATTTGTAAACCAAACAAATGCCAAGAAGTAAATGAAGTACAGGTCTACTGAAAAAGTCTTGTCATGAAATAAATTTTAAACAATGCAATAGAATTCTCAAATTCATGGAATGTGACATGTTTGAATTAAATTTTTTTTAAAAGATTGAAACAGAAAAAGTTATGAAACAAAACATGTAAATGTGATTGCAAAATGTACAATTTTAATTTTGCAAAGAAATTTCATTAGTAAAATAACTTATGTACAAAAATTTAAAGTCTACTGGACCTTAATGTAAAAATAATTAAAAGTCCAGAAGATACCATCCAGTTCAATGATGTTTTGCTTTAAATATATTTTTTAAAAAAAACACGTTTCTGGCACAGCAGAACAAAACTATCAAAATTAGATGTTTGGTTGTAGAAGATTTAGAAATGATTAACATTTCAGATCTTGACTAAATATGCTAAGACTTTTCCCTCTCACAAATGGTATAAAATTATCATGAAAAGAACACACCTTTTCCATAAGGCTAGAATGCATTGAAATCCTGGAAAGTATTAGATTCTCAAGAAAAACAATTTTTTAAACGTACAACATAAAGCAAAAAGTAGTGCTTAACAAGCACAAATAAATTTACAAATTTGAATACATAGAAGTGTATCTTCATAATATTCTAACATGATATAAGAAAATTACAAACCTATTTTCTTTTAAATTCTACCAGGCTTTAAGCTTTTTGGTACTCTTAAAAATAGAGATAAAATTTGAATTAAAACAGATTCCAGTGTAGAAGTTTTATTCGTTTGAATAGGCCATTTCATAAATGGATACCTTAAATAAAAAAATGTTTATCTAACCCAACCTTAGTGATTCAGATGTTTAAAAATTGGTAGCAAGATGGACAGGCAAACTTAAAAATTTATAAGCTTTTTTTTATTTGAAAACTGGTGTTAATTACACATGAATTAAGAGTTATATTTCCTTTTTGGTTTCTTGTGTAGTAAAAATTATTCCTGATCTTTATTAGTAAAACAATTAAATATAAAAATAAAGAAAAAAAAAGTATAAAATCATACTAAGCAATTTTAATTTCTGTGAGTTGAAATATGTTTAAAAATACAACTGCCCTGATGAACATTAAAAATCATGTACAGTTTACTAAATATTTTTCTTTCCAAAAAATGAGATTTTCCTTTCTTTAAAAATAGGTGTAGACTACATATCCAGGGTTATGAAAGGAAATTTCATTTTTAACTTGAGAGAAGAATGAAAATTGCAGATCATTAATGCTTAAGGTTTAAATTTTACCATTTATGCAGACTAGAAGTAAAACTTAAACTACAAAAAGCAAGAGTTTGTTTTGCAGTGATAGAATAAATATATACAGTTACAACAAAACTTTGTGAAATCAAGGTATCTAGAAAAAACATTTGAATGAACTAGATCAAGACTGTTTACATTTACAGAGTTCAGAGGTATGGTGTATAACATTTATAACAATAACATTGGACATAAAACTTTTTTAAGTCAGCATTAAAAAATTTGCAGATTCATAAGAAAAAAACTCCCACTCTCAAAGTTCAAGTGCCAAAAAAACATAAGAGATTTCAATATCTTTGATATGAGCTGATGTTCTAAACTGATCTACAAATTTCCTTGGTGCACTGGCTATTTTACAGGATGATGGCTTTAAAAAAAAAAAAAATTAAAATACGTAAAAGGTTGCCGGGGCATTTGAAAAATTGACTTTAAACTAAGTATTTAAATGTTGGAGAAAGGATACTAAAAATGTGTTTAAAAGAAAACAGTTGATTAATATAAAAGAGTATACCATGCAAAGTTGATTTTAAAAAAACTTGAAATGTTACTACTGTCCACAACACTGCAAGGACTATTTTTTTTTGTTAAAGATATGAAAATGTTTTAAAACTTTAAAATAATAGATTAGATAAAGGGATAATTATTGTTAAAGTTTTGTTGAAGTCAAGATATCTTAATGCAATTTCCTAACTGTAGTTAACTTTTGTTTAAATAAAACAGTACTTGTTTTTCCCGATTTTTAAAATTGTTTACAAAAAACAAGTTACAAGTTTTAACAGTTGTTCGCGTTAGCTTACAGAAGAACAAAAAAAAAAAGCACAGTTGCGGAAAAAACTTTTGAATACAAATTAAAGGGTTCACAATTTAAGTACAAATTAAAGGGTTCCTAAGATATTTTCTATTAGATTTCAACACTCCTGAGAAAATATATTGCAACATATAACATCTGAAAGACAAGTGTGAAAAAGTCAGCCTTACCATCAGCACTTTTTGCATACATGTTAATTCATGTAAAACATAAGTCTTAATGAACATAAAGAAAACAGGTATAATATAACCAAAAAATTTTATAAAGCTCAATTTTTATGCATAGTGTAAACCTGAAACAATTATAAATAAAATAAATTACTTTTGCTTAAGTAATTTTGCATTGCCCACTTCTTAAGGTCAGTTTGTATGCTTTCCTTGAACTAATTGGGATCAGGTGCATGTTGGATTGCAAACAGCCTTTAGACTTGAATACTGCCCTTTGTGTTGCGCGTCAGTGGGCGGTGGTGACGCATGGTATCTGGGGCATGCTGCCAGTACCAACATCCTCGGCAGAGATATTTGAAACACAGGAGATCTCGACAGAAGTAGTTGCCTATGTGAGAGTTGCAGAGGCTGCAGTTGGCATCACCAAGATAAGGGTCAACCTGAATCTGAAAATGCCAAGAGGATGAGGAACCTTGTTCTAATAAATTCAAAGTGCCTATTATAAACTACATTCCTATAATGGGGTGGGCAGAGATTTAGGCATGATGGACCTCACGAAATATTAAGCATAAATCACTTTGGATTCAATTTCTTAAACTGAAAACTACATGTTTTAAACACTGAAAAATTGTAACAAAGTTTTATTTACAAACTGAAAAGAACCTCCTGTCTCAGACACAAGACGTGTCAAACTAAAAATAAAATAAACAAGTGCAGTGTTTGTTATTTGAGGTGGCCTACAGAACTAATTTAATGCTTTCGATTGTAGTTACTGAAAAATTAATTATATTACTTTTATAATGATCTACATAATGGTTTGATTACATCTATTTCCTGTTCATTTAACATAGGTCTCATTTGTAAATAATGAAAATTAATAATTTAGCTGCAATTATTGATACACCTTATGAAAGCGTAGTAATAGGCCCATCATTGAAAGACTTTAAAAAAAAAAATTGTACAGCTGATGAATGGGAGGAGCCAAGTTAATTCCATCAACTACTTGGGCCAGTAAATGAATGGCAGTCCATTGGGCCGACCAATTCGAAACTTTAAAATTCTAATTGTCTTCAGCCGTCACATTAAATTACACTTCTGTTCAATATTGTAAAGCTCTAGCAAATAAATTCAGGTCATGGTTAAAATATTTTTAAAAAATAGGCGAGAAAGAGGGGGGAATCTATTAATGATGTCATCACTAATATAGTATATTAAATCTGTACTTGAGACTTGTCTATACTTATGTCTACACTCGTATCTGTCTAAACTCGTGTTTTTTGTCTATATCTTGCATCTACCTTTTTGGTGAACTTGGGTGTTTTGATTTCCACAAAAGCAGCTTGTACAGCTTTCATGTAGCTCTTACGATTGCTGAAGGAAACTCTTCCGGATCCTAAGATACAAATTTTTATAAGCTTGCAATATGATCATTTTTCTTAATTAGCATTAGGGCCTTCTATCTTTCAAAAGGCTTAATTTCACAGATTTATAAATGTTGATACACTGAATGTAAGAATGCAAGATGCATGTACAAGTATAAGATGCTTGTATAAGATGCTAATTTTTCACTAACCTTGTAATTTCATTCTGAGCTTTGAAGAAATTTTGAGAACATATAGATACAGGGCCATCCATAAATGCTACACTATTTAGAAAATTTAGGCACATTTTTTGACCATCGCTCCCACGATCAAACTTGTCATAAACTTTTATACAACCCCAATAAATATATCGAAATCTCCCCCGCAGATTGGCTGACATTTATAGATAGCCACTGTTTGGAGACAACCTACCTATGGGATATTTATGCTTGTCTGTATCTATCCCAGCATAGATTACATTACCAAACAAATCGCTCATGATGTTGCCGAGTGCCTCTGCTGTGATCATCCCATGCAGGGCCCCGACAAAAACTGTTTTGTTGGAGTCGAGCTTCAACTGTGGTGGGAAACTATGGTTGCTGTCTGCAAGCACCCAAGGAATCACTTGGACCTAGAGGGAAACAAAATCGAAAAATATGCTCTCAAAGTATAATCTCAAGACAAGTATAAAGTGTAATTAAAGCTATTAAATTAGACCAAAAAAACATTGACTATTACCACATTTTGTTTACTAAAATGAACATAGTTAAGAAAGTTTAAGGCGGTGGTCTTGGTGAATGGGTGTCTAGAAGTCCTGAGTATAAAAATATAAAATGTTCGCATCTCATCACAGTTCAACCCTCTTAAGATGTATCACAGTCCAACCCTCTTAAGATCTATCACAGTCCAACCCTCTTAAGATCAATCACAGTCCAACCCTCTTAAGATCAATCACAGTCCAACCCTCTTAAGATCAATCACAGTCCAACCCTCTTAAGATCAATCACAGTCCAACCCTCTTAAGATCTATCACAGTCCAACCCTCTTAAGATCTATCACAGTCCAACCCTCTTAAGATCTATCACAGTCCAACCCTCTTAAGATCTATCACAGTCCAACCCTCTTAAGATGTAATCTGCCCAACCCTCTTAAGATGTAATCAGTCCAACCCTCTTAAGATGTAATCAGTCCAACCCTCTTAAGATGTAATCAGTCCAACCCTCTTAAGATGTAATCAGTCCAACCCTCTTAAGATGTAATCAGTCCAACCCTCTTAAGATGTAATCACAGTCCAACCCTCTTAAGATGTAATCAGTCCAACCCTCTTAAGATGTAATCAGTCCAACCCTCTTAAGATCCATCACAGTCCAACTCTCTTAAGATGTAATCACAGTCCAACCCTCTTAAGATGTAATCAGTCTAACCCCCTCAAGAATTCAGATTTAATTTGAAGTGTGTAAACAATCCTTGTGTTCTCATTATGGCAAAAATGAACACCATGTGCAAGCATCAAGAAAATTTGAGGGAACAGATTAAGTGCTCTGAAAAATTATATAGAATTTAAGTGTCGCAAAATATTCAATCGCTAAAGGTCATTTGTACAATTTTTAGTTCTAAAAAAAATGCACTGCAAAAAGAGATATTTCAAAAAGAGCACAATATTAGAAATCAGGGATTTAATTTTATGATCAAACAAGAACAGGTATGGATGCACGAGGATGGGGAAGATCCAAAACCTGATCTAGAGAGGTAGACAAGGATGCACTCATGATCAGAAAGAGTTGAAATAAAGAAGATTGCAAGAGACCGGATGGTGTGGAAAGACATTGTTAATGTCGTATGCTCCACTAAGAGTTGAAAAAAATGGAAATGTATAGAGCAGCGGTTCTCAATCTGTGGGTTGTGACCTGCACGCAAGAAACTTTCACAGGGGTCACCTAAGACCATCTGAAAACACATAGAGGTCTACTTAGTTATAAAGTATCAACAAAAATTATTTTGTGGTTTGGGGGGGGGGGGTCGCCGCAACATGAGAAACTGTATGAAAGGGTCGCCACATTAGAAAGGATCAAACTGTGGGTTGTGACCTGCACGCAAAAAACATTCACAGGGGGCACCTAAGACCATCTGAAAAAACATAGAGGGCTACTTAGTTATAAAGTATCAACAAAAATTATTTTGTGGTTTGGGGGGGGGGGGTCGCCGCAACATGAGAAACTGTATTAAAGGGTCGCCACATTAGAAAGGTTGAGAACCACAGGTATAGAGAAAGACCAATTAACAACACTGCTTACCTCCTTTGAGCGCATTCTTCTTGATGAAATCTTGTAGAAAAAATCTCCGTTGCTGAAGTCATGAGTGCAGGCCAGGAGAAGTGAGCGTACAGACTTCTCCACATCAAACAAAAGGTAAACGTATCCTGGGATGGAAAAGAAAGTATGAACAGAGCCCTGAAGCATTTGATTTTTTGATGATTTTTTTCTGAATAAATGAACGGCATAATTTTATCAGGTTTAAGGGAAATATTTTATGGAACAATTTAAACCATTTCGATTCTTAAAAGTTAGACCAGGTATGTAAAACTGAGCTTGCCATCTTTGCCTGGCCATTCCACCTTGAGGTGTCCGTACTTGTTGAATGCTGCCTGCAGACCAGCTGTACAAATTGGCAGAAAATATAGAGATGTAGTCATTTTGCAATCCTGTGTTATATTTTGATATAGAAATGTGGTTATTTTGCAATCCCATGTTATATTTTGAAAGAGTGATGTGGTTATTTTGCAATCCTTGGTTATATTTTGATAATGTTATATTTCGTTAGTAGCTGTCACTAGGCAATTATTACTGCGCGTCATAGAACAGATTTTCAACTCACATTCAGTGATGTCCCATGGAACTCCACCAAGGAAAACCTTGCAGGAGTAAACTGGATTCTTGTGGTTACGAGGTGGGAGATGGCCACTCCAGGTACAGCTTGCCTCACTCACAGCTTGAAACACGAGTTAATTTTTTGAATATTTTTCAAACTTTTTATCGAAATATTACAACTTTTTAAAAATAATTTAAAAACTTTTAAAGTATTTTTTATGAAGTGAAAGTAGTGAGAAAAAACTGACTAAAAAATCTTGAGTAAACATGTGACTTTATCAATTTTAGTGACATTTACAATTTTTTTTCTCTCAAATATTTTATATATTCCTAGAGGATATGGGAAAGCCCTTGATCTGAATTATTGAACAGAGAAACACTTTAAAAAAAAAATCATTTATAGCTATAATATACAGAAAGAACAAAAATAATGAATACAACATAATTTTTAACTCAATGTGGTTGTTAATGCGATTTGAATTGGATCCAAAGATTGGAAACTGACTTAATACAAAGAGTGGTCGCCTAGAATAAAAACCAGCTTTATTAAACTGTTAACCAAAATTATAAAGGGAATATTACAGCACCTAATTTTAACAAATTGTTTTTTAAAAAAAAACATTTAAAATTGGCCAAGTTTTCAGAACTATATTTCATACTCTCCATTTTGTAAATTTAAAAAAAATGTATACCACTGATAAATCTGCAGCTGGCAAGTGCAGTTCCAACAGGCATGGGTTGCATGTACTCAAATATGCATAATCTGCAGCACTAGTACAAATGAACTGATCTTACCTGCAGCATTTCTGTGGAGCCGAGCAGCTCTCTCTATGGCATATGGGTCCAGGTTTGAAAAGTAGGAGATGTTTGACCCTAGGTTTGAACTGCTCCAGCCAATACGATCATTTATTGAACGAGGCCTGGGGGGGAAAAAGATTCATTCTGTGTAGGCATTAAATATTTTTATCAGATCACTAATAAATATTCAGACCATGATAGTCTCCATCCATTAAAAGATTTAAATTTACTTCTATGAAATACTGACTTGCGGGGATAAGGAAGTGAGCCTTGCATATCATAATTATTTTTTGGGTCCAGGTATCCTTGGGTGCCAAGGGTCACAGCATTCTGTAAATTGACCAAAAAATACAAAAGTAGTTTTACAAATCATTTAAGGGATAATATTGAGGAGACTTCTTCCATCTTGTATGAAGGGAAATATAAAAACAAGATATTGTAAAAAAAAAATCTGAAGTATAAATAAAAACACAATGGAAATATCTGCTGACTGAAAGCCATCAGCTAACTGAACAAGAATAGAAGAAATACAACAAAAAACTTGAGCTTAAATACAACAAAAAACTTGAGCTTAAGTATTAGCATAGGGTGCTTTAAAAAAATTATTTGGGTTTCAAGGTAAATAAATAAATATTAGACGGGTGACTTAAGATAAATGAATTTCCAAGCCAAAGTTAGATATTTTAAAGTCTTTAGAGCAAATTTTAGACAATTGACACTAAAGCAAACTTCAGACATTTTAGAGCAAAGATTGCACATGTATAAAAAGATCTCAGAAAAGATTGCACATATATACAAGGATCTCAAAGATTGCACTTATATAAAAAAAAGGTAAATAATGAAATTGTGTAAGGTTCTTATTAAACGATGAAGAGGTTTACAAAGATAAGGAAAGCGTATCGTTAACTCACCATCATTTCTATTAGAACTGCATCATCAATTTGTGTGTTGCCTCCATATTTGTATTCTGTTGGTGATCTGGGGGGTGTAGGGAGTGCCTGAATGGCTCGCATGCCTTGGTGTTTGTTCAGCAGATTTGAATACAACTTTTTCTCAATGGGAGACAAGGAGGCATCACTGTGTGGACTTGTCTGAACTCCTGCTGTATCACTTTGGAAAAATTAAGTTTAATTTATTAATGGATAAAAATTGAATGTTTAAAACAAAAACTTGTTAAAAAACTGCTTGTTATAATTTCAAATACATACATCTGTTGATGTTTAGAAAAGGTTCTGATAAAGATGTTTTTAAAAAAAAATTTGTTAAAAAAATGCTGTTATAATTTCAAATACATACGTCTGTTGATGTTTAGACAAAAGGTTCTGATAAAGAATTTTTTCAGTCGGTGACAATGAAACATCACTAGGAGGACTGTACATTGACAGATAATCGCTGAAAAGAAAGAAAAAAAAGTAATAAATTTAGGAATTAAGAAAGAAACATCTAATGAGATGCTACACAGTAGGGTTGAGCAAAGTGCAGTTGTTTTTTTCCGGATACCAGGTGTAGGTATTCTGAGCCCACACCCATCGAAACCGAGTCTGGGTATTACAATTCAGGAATTATAGATAGAGTTTGTGAAATGCGCAACACCCCATGGGGAAAAGTGAAAACTACATATGAGGAGCCCAGTTGCAAATGGTACTAAGTCCGTTTTTAAAAAAAAAATGAGTTAGTGCCCTTTTCTAAATCTATTGTTTTAAATACACATTTTGAATCTCTCATCTTAATGTTCAGAAGGCTCTAAATGCATTTATTTTAAATAGAAAATGTAGAGCAACCTTCAAAATGCTAGTTAAGTTGTAACACAAAATTCACTTTCCTGAAAAATGAGTTTGGTTGGACTTAGTATCTTTTGCAAGCGGGCTCCTCATATGCAGAATCAGTAGCAATAACAAATGCAAAGTTTAAGGCTTCATAACACTAACCCATAAACTATTAACAAAAATAATAAATATGGATCAGAGCCATTGATCTATGCATGAGCGGTGCCTTTTGCTAGTTGGTAAGCTTTATTTTCTTTAGATGTATGCATATTTTAAATAATATATCATTGTGTTACCATCTTAGCCTTATGTTTAGATTCCTTCACTTACAAGTTTAAATTACAGTACTGAATTCTATGAGGGAACTTAGAAATGATCCAGAAGATAAAACTTGTGAAAGGAAATATAAATTGTTAACGGGAAGTGTCATGATCATAAGACATAACCAAAGATATACGTATTGCTGGATAAATAATACGTATTGCTGGATAAATAATAACATAAAATTTACACCAAGCACATTATTATCAGAAATGTTCAGTTTTATTTAGATTACATTTTGTTTCGCAACCCTCGAACTAGTTTTCTATTTAATTTACTGCACAGGTTAAAAAGGTACCCAACAAAATATGTGTATATAAAAATGTTTTAAACACCTGGACCCAGTTTCATATCATTAGCCAGGTAATTTTCTCTGTATGCGATACTCTGCATTTCCGGGTCTCTTGGAGTTAGGTTAGCATCCGGGTCAGCCCTACTACAGTCCATAAAATAGTGATGCAATGTGGCTAATCTAATTTTTAAAAAAAGATTTGTTACACGCAATGGATTTTTTTTTGCACAGAAGCCTTAAGACCTTGATCTGGGGAAATATTTTCTTAAAACTCATTCATCAATTCCCATTCATCAAAGCAATGCCCCAAAGTAGGAACAATTCTACCTTACCCGTTTGTGGATACATGTCCATTTCGTTGAGGTGTAGTTTGACTAACATCAGACGTAGCCTGGAAAGCCGTAGGGTTGAATGCATTCTCACCAAAGAGCTGAAAGTTTCCTAAAAAATGGAAAGGTAACAAATATATTTAAATGTAACAATTATATATTTAAATGTAACAAATATGTATTTAAATGTAACAAATATAATATTTAAATGTAACAAATATAATATTTAAATATAACATATTTTTACAAAAGATGTTCAGTTTCAAAATTCAAAAGACTATGACTAGAGGAAATGCCTCTCTATTAAAAGGAGAAGAAAAAAAAAATCAATAAACTTTGATCATGGATGTTACTACTCTTTAAATCAGAAGGTAACATTCTAAAATGTTTCAAAACTAACCCAACTTCAGCTTCACTTACCATATGAAGGTGGTGCTGTTGGCATTGTTGGTGCCATGGTGGTGGTGTTAGCTGGCGAAGGATTGGGCGTTGGCCCGACGCTGTAGGTGGTGTTGTTACAACAGGTGAATGCAGCCGACTGAGACAGAGGGACATTCGCATAACTCAGCACTGACTGAAGCTCAGGTGTTGGATGGGGACAATAGTTATGACAACCTGGATCTAGACGAGTAAATTTATTCTTACAACGAATACAGAACATAAGAGTAATTTTTTAAGACAACTGACCAGGCCTCATTAAGCCTTGATAAAAACAATTTTGTTGCAGGAAATATATTAATATGAGACACTTTTTGGAGCAACATCTACCTTTCAAATATTGTTGTTGCAATTGTTGAAGCTGTTGCTGCTGTAGTAACTGCTGCTGCTGTTGTAACTGCTGCTGCTGCTGTAACTGCTGCTGCTGCTGTAACTGCTGCTGCTGCTGCTGTAACTGTTGCTGCTGCTGTAACTGTTGCTGCTGCTGTAACTGTTGCTGCTGCTGGACTGATGGATTGGTCAAGTTGTTTACTTCCAGTGAATTATCAAGTATTGCGTTGATACGGCGTAATATCTCCATGTTATTGGGTATTCCAGACTGACCTTGATCACTTTCATAGTTGTCCTTTGATGCCTGGTCCCCATTCTGCAACACAAGGATCCTTTTTTTATTAACCAATTTAGATAATTCTCTCAATTTTCAAGCTGTCCTTTAAATAAGTACCATACAAGTTTTCAGGTAAAATGTTTATATGACATCAGTAATAAAAATAACACTGCCAATAAATTTCTGCACTTAAAAATCCCAATCCATACATTTACAATACAAATTAATAAGTTTAAGTTTTGACCGTCCCCAACACGCAGGGGAAATTACGTCAAAAAGTGTATTTTTATATTCGCAAAAACTTCAAGAGTATGTATTTATTCCTGTAAAGACTTCAAATAGTGTATGTATTTATTCATGTAATAACTTCAAATAGTGTATGTATTTATTCATGTAATAACTTCAAGTAGTCTATGTATTTATTTCTGTAATAACTTTAAATAGTGTATATATTTATTCATGTAATAACTTCAAATAGTGCATGTATTTATTCAGGTAATAACTTCAGTTAGTATAGTATACCTCAAATATCTTCAAAAAGTGTATGTATTTCTACCTGTAATAACTTCAAAAGGTGCATGTTTTAATAAGCATGTTTTTTTTATACCTGCAATAAAACTTTTACCTAAACTAACTCTGAATTTGTGAAAACAATTGCTAATCCAAGGTAAATAACCCTTTTAAAATATAGCTTGAAAAGAAATAAATATAATCCATGTTAAATTTTTCCAATCCAATGGTGCTCCCTTTAAAAAAAGCCCTATTCTGTGGTTCTTGACTGACTTGAGGTGTTAAAAATATTTGTGAAGATATGCAATAGTTTGATTATGTCAATTAGTTAATGAATGTCTTAAATTAAATCCTGTCATGGAAAAAAGATGGGTTTACTTAAACTTTGTACATTTAAAGAACAGTACAATTTTACAAAAGAAATGTACTGTCTCTATGGGCCTGTATACCCAGTATATTATTAATTTTTTTTTTTACAAATACTTCACACATTCCACATTTTTTGGTATCACATTGTAAAGTTAAAAGCAAGTGGGATATTTAAGAACTGAATTTCCTATTTTAAAATTTGAATTAAATGGTAATGATCATCAGTATTAGCATACATTTGTCTTTGAATTGAAAACTGTTTACACATAGTTGATGTAGGCCAAACTAGATCTAATTTTAAATAATAAAAGTTCAATGAAAGTTAATTATTATGGATTTTTAAAAATAATAATTATAATAAAGTTTATTTTAAAAACACGCTTCATCCCCAAAGGCTCAAAGCGCGGTACAAAGTCAACAAACAAACAAAAAAAAAAAAAATCTATAATTTACCACATTTTAAACAAATGCAACACTACAAAAACTAATTACAAGCATACCAAGTCAAAGTCTTTCTACCCATTTCAACCCTAAGCAACACAACCAATATGCATTAACTGGAAAATATGGTAGACAATCATCCCAGAAGGTGTTTGTGAAATAGATGTGTCTTTAAATCGGTTTTAAAGGACTCCAATGTCTGATTGTTTCCGAGTTCCACAGGAAGGGCATTCCAAATTGTTGGACCAGTAAATGAGAAAGTGTGCTTTCCGTAAGTCTCAAGACGAACATGTGGTGTCGAGAGTTTGCCACTATCGGATTTTTATATGATATTGCTAGAGCCAGAGCCTAACTTAACTAAAAAAATTTGGTAACTATCATTTCAATTGTTTATTACCAATTTTAATAAGAAAAGGTTTCCTATAACTGGGAGTCTATAGCACGCCAAGAGCAGACTTAAAATGAAAATGAAATTAATGATATTCTCAAACTCACTAAAAAAATTAAAGAGGGTGGAGGGCATAGTAGTTATAGTAATGTTTTTGTTTTGATAAAGGGAATTACCTAAGAATAAATTTTGAGTAAAAATTTGTTTTGTAGTTCTGCTCATAATGTAATGAATTAAGAAATATTGCTTGTGCTCTAAATATTACTCTCAACATTTTATATTAAGTGTCACATTTTGTACCCAACTTGTAGCAATCCATTTTTCAAACTTAATAAAGGGAAGCAAGTCGAGATATAATTTCGAAAGCTAATAATAAACAAAGTTATCGGACTAGTCATAATTTCGTTCATTCGTTTGTTGTAATCGGGGTCCTACTTACCGAAGCACCTGTAGCCATGACGAATCACAGTACCAATCACGAATTGTTTTTTTAAACGAAAATTTCAAATTTGATAACGAATAATTAATCAGACATCACTACCTAAATTTATGTTACAGAAGATTTGGGAATTAAATTCCTTTCAAATACTGTTTCTAAACTTTCGTCTTCGCGTCACCCGTTTTGCGTTTACTTATCTCTGGCTCTGCTTTTCTTAAATCCAGTTCAGCACTGGCTAGTGTAACATTTAAACTGAATGCGAATCAGCGTCCCCAAGTCCATGACTTTTATAGCATAGGCCGAGTTGAAAAGTGCTCACTACACAAGGTAAACCGGATTGTCAAACTTACCTTCGACACTCCACGTGAATCAGAGGAAAAAGTTCACCTGCTGACCCATCGTCTGCTGGGCGAAAGTTATTTCCCCTTCGGTCATTGTTTGTCCAATCAAATATATTGTCACTGGTGCCTTAGGCCAATTTATTATTATTTTTTTTTAACGAAATCTAAGCATGGATTTTATTTTATTTTCCACGTTGACATGGGGCAAAAAACAAAATAAACTGAAACAAAATGAACCTAGCTCGACCATAAAAACATTAATTTAAAATAATTTTTAATGAGTTTCGCATGGCAACGTTTAGTTAGAATGTCAAAGTAATGTAAGATGAGCGTTGAACGCTGTACATAAAATACTTTTGGGTATCTTTAATTCAATAAAAGTTGTACGCCCCCAGCCCACCAACCTTTTTTTTTTCCTTTTCAAGAAAATGAAGTCTTTGATCCCATTGGAATATATATATATATATACCTAATTATAATGACAATGATCATTTAATAACGGGAAGATTGCAAAACTCATTTTTGAAAACGGTATAAATAAATTTAATTTAGTGTGTGTGGTGGCAAGTTACAAAATTTAAAAATAATCTCTTCACAATAAACGTAAAAATATAGGGAATAAGCATATCACAAAAATTAAATTTGATTGGGTAAGTAGGCTATGTATGTATGTATTTATTAATGTATGGCCGTGGCATATCGCCATTAACACCAGAACTTGTTTGATATCAAATTCCACATTTAATACAAATGAACTTAAAAATCATATGTCATGTGTAATGACTTTCACGTTCAGGTTTTAGGCTTGTATTAGACGCAACGTATGTTTATTTATAAATAAGTTCACGTGCAAATTTGAGGTCTCTTTGAACACGATGCCTGTGCCATATATTTCTTCTGCAACGAATAAATGGATATGACCCCAAACACATCTTATGAGAAACTAGAAGTAAAGCCTTAGAGCTCAAAGCGAGTCACTTAATAGTGAGTAGACCTAATCATATTATGACTGTAAAAATTTTCCTCTTTACTAGTCTGTTCAGAGATTTTAAGCAAAAAGACATTTCTCAGAAAGTAGATAGGCAAGAGAAAAATATGAAAGTGTGAATAATATTTCCCTCCCCAAATGATCCTATCGGACCCGCACGATTGGGGCTTTTTAGATCTGTCGTAATGCGCAGTGGCATAAATTAAATGCCGCCCGCCCGGGGCGAACTCTCTCCTCCCCCCCCCCCGAAAAAACACATACAAACAACATTGAGCATATAATTTTGGTAATAAAAATTAGCAAACATTCCGCCAGGGGTAGGTAGTCACGGCTTGCGTACGGCTCGGCCACAAATCGGGTATAGGTTCTTGAAAAGAAATTTGTCTCTAAAAAATTGTTTTATCGTCCTGATGCTGTTTTTAAATTTTTTTGAGGGCTCTTTTGATCATTGGGTTTGCCAACCACTGGGCTAACCGAGAACTCCGACCGAAAAGACCTCTACTAGACTAGTAGATAATTCTCGAACTCTTTTACTTGTCCGTACAAGATCGTAAAGACTTTAGAGTGTCCGTAAAATTAGAAATTTTAATTTTATGTTCTTGTTTGCTTCAAACTTGTTATTATTTATTTAAACCATTTCCTAAATTGTTGTCAAGCCGAACCGAAAAAGATTATCATTATCATTTATTCCCTATAGTGCCGCTCATCTGAGTTAAGAGTTACGATACAAGATTGTTTTTTTTTTCTGCCCCCCCCCCCAAGTGTCTACATGTCCGGCGGCCAGACGAATAAGTTCTGAAGATATTCGTCCGGCGACCGTCATGTTTAAATTGTAGGAAATGTTTTTTTTTTTTTTTTTGCCCCCCCCCCCCCAAGTGTCTACATGTCCGGCGGCCAGACGAATAAGTTCTGAAGATATTCGTCCGGCGACCGTCATGTTTAAATTGTAGGAAATGTGCAAAGGCTGCTTAAATATTAATAAATGTTTCCAATTGCAAAAGGACGTATCTTTTAATGAGTGACAAAAATTGGTAATATTTCCTTTATTTCTGCGTAAAATTGTGTATATTAAATAGTATTAATATTAGGGTTGGAGTTAAATGACAATATTAGTTAAACTATTAGGCTATTAGGGATTGCGAAGGTCTCACGCGCACCCAGTTTGCGCATAACAAAAAATCACGCAAAACTTGTGCGCCATTTCAACACTTAGATCGTCAGTGAACGTAGAGCGCATATTTTTTACAAACAAGGTGATACCATTTTTGTAGCATGGAATATTTTTTGAGTGGCAATATATTATATATTTATCCTTGTGCCGGCATGTACTTAACAGCTTATTACTTTTTAATGTCTAATCGTATCACATTGAATTTTATCGTACCGCTGCTTGATAAAGTCACGAAAGCGAATAACTTTATTTCGTTAAAAATGCCCATGCATCTAAAAAGTTATGAAATCTTCTTCGTAACTAAAATTATAAATTATCACCAGTTATCTCCCCTATTTAAAAAAAATGGGTTGTCGGAAGTGCCTCTTTCCTTT